CAATGAAAAAACAATTTCCTAACTTGATATTTGTCAGCAAAAGCCAAAAAAAAAGAAGAAACATTAAAATAATTTTAATGTTTCTTCTTTTTTTATTACATTACATAGTCAACTGATTAATTTATTAATTAAATAATTAATGTTAAAAATTGCTTCATTTTTTTAAAGCTGTTAAGTTCTAGTTTATGAGACACTCCTGAACTAGATATGCATGAAACAGTTAAGCAGTTTATTTTTAAAATTGAAATTATTAGTTCAGTATATTTAATGCAATATGTTTTCAATTTGTTATTGAAATGTCTGGCAGGATTAGTAATAATAATAATAATAATAAGAGGCTTTATTTAAAGAGGGTAAAACAGTAATGTCTTAACAGTAGTCTTAAGACACTGATGACTCTGTGTCCCTCAAAACAAATTACAAATATAGATTCTACAACTAAAAAATATAAAATATACTATTTTCAAAGATAATTTAGGATAAAATAAAATAGATAATTTCTAAAAAGACATTTTGACTAAGATAGATTAAAACAACTTAAAACGTATATACAATTACAGTCTAAGGAACATCGCAGCCTTTTGTTCAGCTAGAAAGGATTTAAAAACGTTATGCTTAAAACTTGCTAGCGAGCCATTATTCCTTATATTGGCATTCATGCAATTCCAGTCCTTTATAGTACTAATAGTGAAAGTACGACCTCCTTCTGTTTTTCGTTTATACTTGGGGCACACCAGATTTATGTTTGAATGTCTAGTGGCTTGCTTATGAATTTCTGAATTTCTGACTAATAGACTATTCAAATAAATAGGTGTAATATAATAATTATTATTGTGGACCTGCTTATACACTAGTGCACATCTCTTTATTAGAGAGCCAGTTTAGACTTCGTTTTTTTCTTGTTGATGAACATTTTGTTGCAGGACGCCCATCTATGAACCGCATCAAGATCGGAATTTAAATGTTGCGTCATCGAGCACAGATCCGAGAAATGCGCACTTGTGGTTATTGAAGTGTCGTCAGCGTAAATGTCCACAGTTGAATTTGTTAGATGTAATGGAATGTCATTCACAAATAACAAAAACAGTGCGGGACCTAAGACGCTTCCTTGCGGTACCCCTTGCTTGATAAGTAGAGAGTCTGATCTTTGACCGTCAACACTGACAAACTGTTGGCGACCAGAAAGATATGATTCAAACCATAACAGCGAAGGATCACTCACTCTATACAGGCGCAGTTTCGTAAGAAGCAACTGATGATCAACAACGTCAACCGCTTTTCTAAAGTCTACAAAAACCATTTTGTAGACGTGCGCCATTTTCCATTTAGTTGGAAAACAGCCACTCTGTATAGACAAATTGATCAACCTCGTCAATGGCTGTACAAAAATGGGTGAGACCAGCTTTAGAACTTTCACACTACACTTTCTGGGATACCTTTTTCACCAATATTATCATCATCTGTAGAAACTTAAGTTTGCCAAAACCAAAACTTGGGAAGAGATTCCTACTAAGATAAAAACACTTAGCTACCACAAGTTCAAAAAAGAATATAAGCGAATTCTAGTTAACTCTCAATGGTAACAATTGTAATATGACTGTCTCACATAACCTGACTGCTGGCATAATCGTCCATAGTTGCCATGGCACCAAGCACACGTTTATTATGTATTTCCACTCATAATATAGCGGTGGTTAGCTCAAAAGCTAAGCTCCTCTGACCACCATACACTTCTACCCAAACCATTAATTTTCTTTTTTTCCCTTCTTCTTCTCCTTTATTAGTGTATTCCTACCTTACTATATGTAATGTAAATATTTTATAAAGTGTGAAAAATAAAATTGAATTGAATTGAATTGAATTGGGAATTAATCTTTTAATGTAATACTCTAGTGCAAAGAAAAAAATTTCCTACCTTGGTCTTTATCAGCGAAAGCAAAAAAAAAAAGAAGAAACATTAAAATTACATTAGATAGTCAACTGATTAATCAATTAATTAAATAATTAATTTTAAAAATTGCTTCATTTTTTTAAAGCTATTAAGTTCTAGTTTATGAAACACTCTTGAACTAGATATGCATGAAACAGTTAAGCAGTTTATTTTTAAAATTAAAATTATTAGTTCAGTATATTTAATGCAATATGTTTTCAATTTGTTATTGAAATGTGGTCTGGCAGGATTAGTTTCTGGAATACCTTTTTCACCGATATTATCATCATCTAAAGAAAAGTTATTTAATCCCTGGGGTATTAATCTTTTAATGTAATAGCCCTTATGTGACAAAAAATAAGCTCATTAAATGAAATGTGTTTACTGCATATCTTTAAATGTCCAACAAACAGTCACCGGCAATAAATCCTTATTCACGGACATTTTAAAGACTGACCTTTCTATCATATTTACGCTTTCACTGATTTGAGCAGTCGATTATCTTGCTGGCATATTCGTTTCAACCCATGTCCATCAAAGCTGTCCAAAAACCAAGAATTTTGGAGAAGTTTTGCATCATTTTAGATAATAAACGTAAAGAAATGCGCCCGCATTACCGCGAGGAAACTATTCAACGAGATTCGTATGTCAAATATGATGAATAAAATGTACCGAACCTAATTTGCATTAAATAGTCTTTATTAAATGTGAATTTCATCAACTTTAAAACTGCTACTTTATTTTAGAGAAAATGATTTAAGATAAAAAAAATTGTCCTATTCGACAATGATTTTCAGTATCCTAAATTATCCAGAGAATATCGGGAAAATTATTGGGACTACGCAAGGCACTTTTTCCTGCCCTATTGCCTGCTAGAGGGGGGCATTTAGCCGACGGTAGATAAAAGGTGATCAATGCAAACAATAGTACTTGTTTTGAAACACCGGTAACAGTAAAATAACTGATAACTTTGCTCAACGGAGAAGCTCTTATTTATTTATAACTAACAAATCTTACTCAGCGGCGATAATCAAGGAGAAACGTCTGCCGTTCGCAGGTAGCCTGAGTATCAGGCGTTTCTGGGTGAAAAGGGGAAAGATGGAAGCCAAAAAGGGAGAGAGCCCCTCCCCTCTCCCCCTCTCCCGTTTAAAATCTCCTCTCCCCTAGCCCCTTAGGAAGGCCTGATACTCAGGCTAGTTCGCAGGCTATACTCAGACCCCCTGGAAAAAAACTTCTGTAAGCAACCCCCCACCCACTCGGAAATTGCCTTCTTTCGGACCCCCCTCCCCTCGGATTTTCCGTTGCCCTCCGTGGCGGGGGGAGGGTATGGATATTTTTTGGAACTACACATTACAAGGTAACTGGCCTCAGATGTTACGAACATTTTCCTTCCCCTCTAGAAGTTCTGTTTTTCTGTTTCAGTTTTGTACGGGGTAACGCAAAATATAACCGCGGCCCTAACCCTGACAGAATTTTCATGTATCGTATTCAAATGATAAACAAATTTTCTTTAGTGTGGAACAAGCCAATCAGAAACACTTTTCTAATCACGTGATTTCTGAACGCGCCACGTTCAAATTTTGAAACATTTGTCGAAGCAAGATGCGAAGGTTTACAACTCTTTGGTTTCTAAAAGTACAATACTCTTTCGCGAACAATTTCTTCTTGCCATCTTTCCTAACTTTGCTTCAAAAGACGTGAATGGAATAGAGGTTCGACGTGACTGGAACAAAGCAAAAGGTTTGTAGACGTTGCCCTTTGAATTAAATTTTTAGTTCGTATTTTGTACTCGGTAAAATGGCTTATTCTGTGGCTTCATTTTCATTTTTAAGTTGACAATCTTATTTACTGAGGGTAACTTTTTCTTCATTTCAGCCATATTACAAGTGGAAGTTAAGAAACACTCAAAATTGACGTGTCCAACAGGAGTTACAAGTGGAATTATCAGAGCAAGCCATTTGAACTCATCCACGCGAACGTAGTTTACACGTGGCTAGGATGTTGCACAACAACTCAACCTTCCAAAGGTAAAGACAGTTTTTACTGAAAATAGGAATAGGAATTTTAATTTAGCAATCATTTTGTCCACAAATGATAATGTTCGTATTAGAGGGACGTTTTTTAAAACTTAACTTTCAAAAATGAGACATTTTATGTTGATTCGAACTTGTTGTTCAGCGTTGTTGTTCGATACAGTGTAATGCTACAGTTTAACTCTTGTTTCACCAAATTTGCCTGAAGAATACAGTATTTTAAAGTCATTTTTTGGAAATATCTTTGCTTCCAGTACACCTGTAATGCTCTCTTGCTATTGTCAAATAAAGAAACGGCAAACATTTGCTGTAATTAGTTGGAATGATAGCTTCAAAAAAGCATTATGTTCAATAAGCAAAACAACAATTTTGCACGTGCAGCAAAATTTTTGGTACACTTTCTTTGACGTTCTGCATGACTACGACGTTAAATTCCCTAATGCAATGTTTTATGGAGGACGAGACCGTACGATGAATTTCTCTTTTCGCTGCTTTAATTTATAACTTGAGTTTGGTTACCCGGGACATTCACCCACATTTGGCGTAATCGAACATATGGCGACAAAGTTTGAATAAACGCCGGCAAAAGTCTTTTTAGAAATGACGTTTTCGCTGCCGCTGCCGTCGTCGTTTGCTATGTTTAACAGAGGCTAAAATCGAAGCTCTCGCTAATATTTATAATTTGTTCAAACAAAATATAAAGTCGTGTTTTGCTAAAAAGCGGCGAAGACAACGAGAGCAGTAAAAAAACAACAATAGGTCTAATTAGCAAAAAAGCAACTTTGCTCATGCAGTACACTTTTTTTGTACATTTCATTGTCGTTGTTTTGTACGACTACAACGTGAAACTGCCAGAAACTTCCCGGGTTACACGTTTTATGGAGGAAGTGTCGTTGCTCACTGTTTTCACCTTGGTGAACGCTAGCATTTCTCATTTTCTCACCGCCGCTACAAATTTTCCATGTTGTTCCTCCAACAAAAAAATGTCTCCTTTGTTTTTTATCTCTCGCTCTAGTTCTCTGTCTGTTTTTTTTTTTTCGTTGAGCTTCGCTGACCTGTCGCCTACTTTCTCTTTTTCTCTATATTCCAAATTTGTGGACATGAATTAATACAGATGATATAGAAACAATTTCCGCTTTCCGTTTTCGTCTTTATTATTTGGCTTTGCGATTTCCCGCCAAAATAACCTCGAGATGTATTTGGGTTGCCATACCTTTTGATTAAGTTATTTTACATTGGTATGCCTGTGGTGTGGACGGAGGGGCGGGCGGGTGGGCTGGCGTACGCTCACGTCATTACCAAAAAATGCCAGAAAGAATTTTTTCAAAAATTATCCGTGGAGGCTAACATGAAAAAGAAAAAGGAACGTGCTATCTGGTGATTAATGCTTGCAAGGTTTCAAGTGGTACCGCGCCGGAACTCCCCGCAGAATCTGTTTCCGATATCAAATGCCTCCTAATTTAGCTCAAGTTATAATATCTTAGTTTTTATACAGTGAAATACCATTATATCTTGTTTTATACTCAATATTCGCCTTTGATACGAGGCCACGGTGATTGACAAGGATAAGACCCCTGCTGTGCCAAAATTAGATATTAGAAATTTTAATTTGGTAAACATGGTAACTGAACACCAAAATGTTGCCAAAAGCAAAATTACCATGACAAAATTAGCACATGCTAGACATGAAATAAAAAGTTTCGATTTAATCAATTGAGTTTGGCCATCGATTTTAGAGAGAGAGAAGCTGGACATTGAAGCTGAGTAATTCGCACCATTGAATCGGACAAAACGCGGACAAAAAAATCGGACGAAAAAAGCGAACATTCAAATAGTTTAGACAAAAAATTGGACAAAAAATTCGGACTAAAAATCGGACATTCACATAGATCGGATAAAAAATCGGACAAATAGATCGGACAAAAAATGGTACATTCAAGGGACAAAAAGTCGGACGAAAAAGCGAACAAAAAAAACAGGACAAAAAAATCGGACAAATAGATCAGCCAAAAATATCGGAGAAAAAAATCGGCATTCAAATAGATTGGACAAAAAAGTTGGAGCAAAAACTCGAACAAAAAAAATCGGACCAAAAAAATGGGACATTCAAATAGAACGGACAAAATAATCGGACTCAACTGTAATAGTGTTTTGCAGTGCCAATGAGTAGTTTTTGTATTTTCCAGCATCTCTTCTGTTAGATTTCGTTGCTTGGGATGTTTTGATGTTCATTTATTTATATTTTGTCTCCTTTACATACAATTTTCAGAATTCCAACAAACCAGACCACTTTAAACAGGCACACCGCTAGAGCAGACCATTTTCCTGGCAGCAGACATCCAAACCAGGCCATTCTCCTCGCAGCAGACCTCCAGACCATTCCGTTTTCCTCGCAGCAGACTTCCAGTGCAGCCCTTTTTCCACGCAGCAGACGCTTAGTCCAGACCATGTTCCACGTAGCAGACCTCAGACCAGACCATTTTCCTCTCAGCAGACCTTCAGACCAGACCATGACCAGACCACGTACCTCTCAGCTTACAGACAGCCACAAATTTGCACAGAACGACCAGCCTCCAGACAATCCAGGTCAGATCGTTTCCTTATGGGTTGGGTTAAGGGGGGTAAATAGAAACAGCTCTGGATGAACCTTGCAACGCATACTATCCACACACGTTCGGCTTGAAGTCCCTGGACTTCTTTTTCGGCTTAATTTAATCGTAGTTAGATTAGTTAGCGGGTTCCCTGGGCTGGTAAGGGCCTCCCCTTCCCTTTTTCATTCCTGGGTTGCTTTGCAGGTATTCGGCAACGATAGGAGTTCAGCTTTTTCAAACAAATTTCGGCTTCAATTCGGCATTTTTCGTCTTTTCGTAGGATGCATTTCATCGTCGCCTCGCCGTCGCCGTCGTCGTCGTCGTCGTCGTCGTCGCTGCTGTCTCCCGCTTAGTTGCGCCATAAAGAAAATCAATTTATCTACTACACTTTACTTGACAGTTAATCTGCTGGACAAGTAAAGTTCTTATCCGCAAGGTTCAACCAGATAGATTATTAAAAAGTAGAAAACTAGAGACTACAGACCATTTAACTGTTGTAGCGGGACCTGATTTGGCCACCCCTTACATGTTGAGTGGTTTCTCTAGTTGCAGGTAGTTAATTAGTTTAGCCTCGCAAATTTGGTTAATTCACCTGAAAAATGATCCTGCAAACTGTTTGGTCCTATTTGAAAGCAAAATTCCGATTGTAGAGTGCCGGAAAGTTTCGGAATGAACGAGTTTTGTACCAAATTTGCAAGCGTACAGTGCAGTGTAGAGATGAGTCTTACAAAAACCTGCGACCAGGCGTTCCTTTCCGAGAAGGGCAAAACTCTTGTCGCAGGTTTATCAAGGGCAGCATGGGACAACGCACACACCCTAGGCTAGATCGTTTACAAATTGTAAGCGTAGGAAGCCTTCGAGTCCAACCTACGACGCAGATTCACCGCCGGAGGAACATCACCCAGCCAAAAGGTTGTTAGCGGAGGTTAGTAGCCTGTGGGATAGA